CCTCTTTCCTCTTTCCTCTTTCCTCTTTCCTCTTTCCTCTTTCCTCTTTCCTCTTTCCTCTTTCCTCCTTTTCCTTCTCCTTCTATATGCTGCATGCATGCAGCTTGCCACACTCTACCTCTCTCATGCCTCTTCTCCCCTCTGATCAAGAATCAGGATCGAATCCTGTCGTCCCCGGAAATAGGAGTACGTACATAATCACTCAGTAACCATAGGTAATGAATTGCAAGCGCTGAGCCGTCTGTCTTCTCTGTCTTCTCTTCTCTCTCTTATTTCTCGTCAGTTCAAGTGTTTTCAACGGCAGCCGGGCAAGGTTGTCACCGGTTGAAAAGTGAGAGCTGTTAGATCACGACGCGGATCGATTGTCAGGCAGGCACCAGGCTGGGAGCAGGCCAAAGGTGAGGCTGGGAACTTCAAAGATAATTTAATCTCAGAGCCTGTTTAATCTGCATTTCGGCAATTGCACCGGTTTGGAGCATCCCGTGTACAGGTTTGGAAAAAAAAAATCTTTCCCAGACTTTCATGGGTCCTTCCCTCCCTCCTCACTTTCCTGTGTTCAGTGAGCTCTTCTCATCATACACGCTGCTCTCAATCAACTCAGGATAGACAAGGCCTCCTTGCTTCCTGACCTCGTCCATCGTCTCCATGATCACCAGACTCTCCTCCCATCCGATGCCATCACTCTCCAGCTTTCCATCCCTCAAGCATCTACCAGCCTCGTCCGCCTCCCAGAACATCCCGTGTCCAAAGTCCTTTTGCTTATCGAACGGAATCGCACACTGCACATCGTTAACAGCGCCCTTCTCACCTCCCTGCATAATGACTCTGTAGTGAGTCGGTCTGTAGAGTGGTCCCATGATCTGGATCTCGCCCTTGGACCCCTGAATTCTCGCTGCCGGGCCAGCAGCCGGGCTTCCCTCGCCATCAGGCGTAGTAGCAACTCGCAGGCTCGTCGTAGCGATTCCCACGCTCTTCGCCTTTGGGAATGAGAGGATCATGGACGTGGTCTCATCCGCACCAGTCTTGTCATACTTCTGAATATCCGCCAAAACCTTCGGCTTCTCCCTCTGCCCAACTGGCTGGCAATGATACAGAATCTGGAAGACCCAGGTCAAGGAGTAGATTCCCAGATCCAGGAGCGCACCACCCGCCAAATCGACGTTTACCATGCGGTGCTCGTCAGCGAACGTCAAGCTCCCATCATCCTTGGCACTGCCGAACGAGAGATCAGCTGAGACGCGATGCACCTTTCCGATGGCTCCCGACGTCACCAGTTCTCGGACTTGGATGCTGAGCGGGAAGTATCTAGTCCACACTGCCTCCATGAAGAAGAGCTTCTTCTCCTTGGCCGTCGCGATCAATTTCTTGGCCTGGGCGGCGTTAACAGTGAGTGCTTTCTCGCACAGCACATGCTTGCCCGCTTGCAGCGCCAGCATGGAATTCTGAAAATGGTGAGAATGCGGAGTTGCGACGTAGATTATATCCACGTTGGGATCTGCGACGAGCTCCGCGTACGAGCCATAAGCTTTTGCAGAAGGGGGAGCCCCGACATCTTTGAGAAAGGTGGAGGCGCGGGATGCAGAAGAAGAGGATGCGGCGGCTGCAATGGTATGCTTGATGTCGGACATCTCACGGAGAGAAGGGTTGGTGAGAAGGTCTTTGGCGAAGGCTGGAGATCATTTGTCAGACAGAGGTATGTAGCTTATTCCATCGTGAGGAAAGAGTTTGGACGGACTTGTTGCAATGCCCCCCGTGGCCAGGATCCCCCACTTCACTTCGAAAGGAGAAGACATGGTGGTAATGTGGTGTTGGTAGGGTTAGTTATGATGGGTGTCACCACGGGATGGAAAGAGAAGTTGAAGAGGTTGATGAGGTTGAAGAAGATCAAGATGAATAAGAAGATGAAGAAGATGAAGAAGATGAAGAGAAGATGAAAAAGTTGTAGAACTTGAAGAAGTTGACGAAGTTGACGAAGTGGACGAAGTGGAAGAAGTCGGACTTGAAAGTGGGAGAAGGACTGCCCACCCCACCAAGCGCCAAGAGGCTGACTGATGTTGAGATTCAGAAAAGAGAAGCACCTGCAGACTGCAGACTGCAGAATGCAAAATGCAGTTCGTGAGCAGCCCGAGTCGTCTTGACAACATCCCGGCCCTTTCAACTTTCAATGCCGAGTCAAAACCCATAAGGCTTGCAATTGACTGAGTAAGGTAAGTAGCCGAGGGCTCTCAGTCTACGAGGAGTGGCCCGATTCCGCCTTACCCAGGCAAAGCTCCACAACACCACCACCACCAACACCAACACCATATCCACATCCACTTCTACTTTCGCACTCTCGTATCCAGGGCTACAGAAGTCAATGGCCATGTCTTCAAAGTCGGCATTAAGCGTGGTGCTGTCTCCCCGAGCCAGTCCTGATATCAAAGTGCCCAAGTTCATCTATGGTACGGCTTGGAAGAAAGAGAGGACGGCCGAGCTGGTGTATCAAGCCATCAAGGCCGGCTTCAGAGCTATCGACACCGCGGCTCAGCCAAAACATTACAACGAGAAAGGCGTGGGAGACGGGATCAGGAGGGCTATCGAAGAAGGAGTGGTGCGAAGGGAGGATCTGTTTGTAAGTCCGCTATTTAATCTCCACTTTTCTCCAACGATCACGAGATCCGAGCTTGATTCAAAGTCAACAGATCGAGTACCTTGAAGTATCGAGATCCTCGACATCCCCTGCTGCTGCCGCTGCTGCTGCTGCTGCTGCTGCTGCTGCTGCTGCTGGCTCTCCGGCTGTTTAGATTCAATGCTAAGACCATCAGATCCAAACCAAGTACACCCCCCCCTCCGGGCAGGACCCTAAAAACATGCCCTACGACGCCACCTCCCCCGTGGAGGAGCAGATCATCAACACCCTCTCATCCTCGCTCACAAACCTCACGTTTCCTCTCACAGTCCAAGAGCCCTACATCGACTCTGTAGTCTTGCACTCCCCGCTCCCCACCCCAGAGCTCACCCTGCAAGCCTGGCGCACCCTCTCCTCCTACGTGCCCACCAAGATCCGCTCCCTGGGCATCTCAAACACCACCCTACCAATCCTGAAATCACTTGCCTCATCCATGACGTCGAACCCCGGTCTCCCATCCCCGGCGTTCGTGCAGAATCGCTTTTACGGGGACACGTCCTACGAAGTGCCGCTGAGGAAGTTCTGCAGGGAGAACGGGATCGTGTTTCAGAGCTTCTGGACACTGACTGGTAACCCGGTGTTGCTGAGGAGTCATGTGGTGCAGGAGGTTGCGAGCGCGTTGGAAGGGAAGGTGGAGAGCGGTGAGGAGAAGGCTGTTGCGCTCTATGGGCTGGTCTCTGGACTCGGAGGCGTGGCTGTGTTGAACGGGACGACGAACCTAGCGAGGATGAGTGGGGACCTGCAAGGTTTGGAGGTATTGAAAGAGCTGGTGGAGGGTGAATGGGCGGAGAAGTGGGAGGCTTGGATGAAGGGGTTCAAGGGGGTCATTGGAGAGCAAGACTAAGCACCTTTGTGTGGCCGAACCTTGTACGGGTGTGGCGTCTACTAAGATTCTTGTAGCTGGTCCCAAAAGAATTGACTTCTTATCCAGCGTAGTGTTCATTTATCGTTCAGCTCACCCGCAAGAATGTGGTAAAGTGATTTCTTCTCCAAGCTGGTTGATTTGATGTTCTCGACGGTACTAAAGAGGGAGCTGGCGGCCTGAAGAGGTAGAAATGAGAGTAACATTGAGATTTTGCGAATTATGACGGAGGGCGTGGCGGATTTTGCTTGAGCTAAGACGGAGGGGAATTTGTTCAGGCCGTTGTCGAGGATTTTTGGCGAAGGCAGCATTAGCGAGGGTGGGATGAAGCGATGATTTTCCGGCGGCGTACTTGCCGGATGCTGTATTGTGAGCTTTGACAGAAGTGGTGCCTAGAGGGATTTTAGCTGGTTGTGAAGACGAGTCAGATGGAGACGAGGCATTGGAGGACGTATCGGAAAGAGATAAAGAAGAATAATTAAAGAGGGCGGGTCCCGTGACACATGAGAGCCTTGAAATCGGGCAGGCAATGGAGCATTTACGCTACCAGATTGAAGATTGATGCAGATAGCAATGAACAAAGCAAGCCATCATGGACGATTGCATGACAGATTGACAATTTGTGTTATGGCTCTACGCCTTGCCGAGAACCTGATCAAGCACACCGATTACCTGCTTAACCTCATCCACTACGCCACAGTTAGAATGTGCAGATCCCGGATTGAAGGCAACCAACTCACCGGTATTGTAGTGCACCATTGACACTCTCACGACCCCATCATCCTGCGGCAGCCCCAGGATCTCATCCGCCAATCTCACACTGTAGAAAGTACCCCATCTTATCCCCACTTCTCCATTTGTCAGGGCATCGACAGCTTCGACAACATCCCTACTCTTCTTCCCCGTGACGACGAAAGAAATCGTGCTGACCCGCTTCTTGGTATCCTTGTCTTTCTCTCCCATGACCGTCACGTCTGACCGCGAGTTCAAGTATTCCAGTAGCGTACCCTGCAGCAGCTCTTCATGCTTCTCGATCTTTGCCCACGACTCTGCAGGCTCAGGTCCAAAGTACTCCAAAACCGCCGGGACAGAGGCCGTGAGTTCGTAGCAAGAGCCCGCAAGAGCGAGCTTTTCTTGGAGGGTGCTGGATGGGTTGAAGTGATGACCGAGGGACTTGACAGCTTTCAACCCAGCCTCGGATGCGTAGAGCATGGAGATGTGAGGCCCGTACACCTAATTTTCGCTCATCAGCAAAAATTTCCAGGATTAGGGAGGCTTCAGACAGAGAAAGCAAAAGATGTACCTTGTACCAACTGAAGCAGTAAAAGTCCACCCCCAGAGCCTGGACATCGATCTGCCTGTGAGGAGCATAGGCGACCGCGTCAACGCACAGCAAAGCCCCCGGGATGGCGTGTACTGCCGCGGCAATGGCGGCGATGTCGTGGATCGTTCCCAGAATGTTGGAGGCGTGTGTACACGTGACCATCACGGTCTTTTCCGAGAGCAGGTCCTTGAGGTCAGAGGCCTCCAGCTTGGGATTCGTGGTGGTCTTTGGGATCCACCATTTCACGGTGAGGTTTTGCCGAGCGGCTATGTCCACCCAGGAGGCGATGTTCGCTTCGTGGTCGACCTTGGAGATGATGATCTCGGAGCCGGCGGGGAAGTTGAGGGAGAAGGAGAGGGTGCGGAAGAGTGATGTCGTAGAAGCTCCGAGGACTTTTTTTTTTTTTTGATCATTAGCAGGCTTTGGGAATGTCGTGGATATATGTACTTGCCAATGTTGTCGGCGGACGCATTGATATACTTTGCTGCTGCGACATATCCATCTCTATAAAGGGCGTTGGATTTCTTGCCAACGGCGTAGGACGCTCCCAGTTGGACATTGGTCTTTGAGAGGTAGTTGCAAATGCTTCAAGAAAATGTCAGACTCGGATTTGAGTATCGCTGTCCTGAAGAGGGTAATTACGCGTCTATGACCGTCCCAAGGGTCTGACTTCCTCCAGCATTGTCCAAAAAGACCTGCTTCTGTTGTAAGGCCGGGAACTTGTCCCTAGCTGTAGCAACATCGAAGGAGCCCATGGCGTATATAATTGATAGAATATAGGAGATAGATTCCGCGATGGAGAGAAGAGTTCACAGAGTGATGTTCTTTATACCCCATTCTTCATTCTCCGGAACTAGGTAGAGCATCCAGCCAGCCAAATGCCATGGATTTTCCTTGGACTTCCAGTCAATTAACCAATAGCCGCTATCTCCAAAGGAAATCCATAACCCAATTATGTAAGATACGGATTTCAGAGCCGAGTTATCTCAACCTGCGTGATCACTGGATTAATTCTACAATGAGTTAAATAAGTTAACTTTTCTAGCCGGATCCCGGAAACACAGTTCAAATATTGTATGATCGTAATCTTATTCGGTACAGAATGTCTTTGACTTGCGCTTGGGGAAAGAGAGGGGGAATCTTGCGAGCATGCAAAGTACGGATACAGCGCCGACGACAACAATAATTATCACATGATAAACGGAATACAGCACTGGAACGAAAGCGGTCGATAGCTATAATCGATAGTGGTTAAGCTTTACGTACGAGCATATGAAAACACGATCACAAAGGTGCAAGATACGATACTGTATGACTTTAGCTATATCTACCAAAAATATTTGCCAAATCGATCTCTCATATACCACCTGCGCCAGAACACCAAGAAAAAAACCCGACTGCTAACTCCGATTCCTAGGTAATCTAACCTTTTTCCTAGCCCGTCCCTTATCTTGACTCGGCTCGCTACGTATGCTCGCCTTAACTTTTGTAACCCTAAATCCTTCTTTCTTCACTCACGGTACAACTCTGGGTGTATTTCTTCAAAGCCAAGACCTAAACCCGCTGCGCGTCGAAGCTGCCAGACTGGGTTGACAGGCATGGTGGATCTGGAAATTGTGTATGGTACCGGTACCGGTAGATGTACTACGTACAACTAAAGCCGATACTACCCTTCCGAAAGTGTAATTCTGTAAAGGATCTTCTCAGCTGGGCTTTAATGCCCCATCACCCTACGTATAGATAGATGCACATTCCGCTTGGAAAAGTTCATTTAGAGCCGGTACTCATGTACAAGCCGCTTGTACTGTTCTATGCTTACCCCCCCCCTTAGTCGAAGACGCCCGCGCGAATCAATCACTTCCACCACAAGACCACGATCGAACATTTGAGGTCCTTTGCGTGCATCTAGGAAAAGCTGTCGGGGGGCTGGTAGGCTTGGCATCCAATAGTGCCAGGGCCTTCCTTCTCCGCGAGCAGCGCGATCACGGCATGTAAAGTCGAAAGAATCGACGGAATTGGAATCCCTGAGAGCGCACTTAAGAACGATAGGAATTAGTCTATATATCATGCGGGACGATTATGTCGTCAGAGTCGTCGAGGTCGAATCGTCTGCGAATATAGGCAAGTGGAGGTCCATATATCGAGGTTGAAATGGCCGTCCAGCAATGATCCTTTGAGCGTGTAAAGAGAGGTTTTTGAAACGGTCGCCAATAGCTCGAATTACACGGCGCCGCCGGTGGTGAATGTAATATAATAGTAGCAGTACAGCACCGGATTGAAGGCGATTGATGGCCATATTCAGCGACTTAATGAAGTTTTCAAGCCAATTCCGTATACATAAAAACACACTGTCACTAAAGCACGATCTGGGACCCAGTTTAGCTCCATAAAGCATAGAACGATGGTTTCTGAATGGCTCAAAGCCGCATCAACTTTACTGCACAGACGAATTACTTGCTTAAAGATGCTGTTCAAGGCTGAATCCTTATAGTTTTATTAGTTCAAGCCCTGGTAACAGCCCTTGCAATATTATTCTTTCGATAAACATTTAGGGGGGAATACATATCAATTGGTCCAATGACTAGGTATTTCTTTTGAAGGGGGGTTAGAAGACCGTTGAAATAACCCCCCGGGCTGTCTGCCTTCAAGGACGACTTCAAAACTCGTTTCATAGTAACCCTAGCATCGTTGGCCTTGTTGCCTGTTATCCGACTTCTGATCTTGGTACCCAGGTTCTCATGCAGCGTGTCCTTGGTGGACTGGAGACGCCGGCCTCGGCAGTCGAACGCAGTCCTAGAGCCAATTTCTGAGGTTGGTTTGCATGAAGCCGAAAAGAAATATTCGGCGTCCATAGAAAATAGTCAGGTTTGCAGCATCAAGCGCTTATGCGCACATTAAAGCCTCGTTATTCAATGAGCAGCGTTGATGATACATGCACCTTTCCTAGCTGAGCCGACGAGCTCCCATACACGGCCCCGCTAAAAACAGGTCGGTCAAAATGGGCAGATTTCCAGCTCGACAAAAACTTTTGTTGGAGGAGACTGATATCTCGACTGCATCAATTGCCCTTCCACAACATAACAATTATCGCAGGAGCACCATGAAGCGCAAGGCAGACACCCAACCGGGCAGCCAGGACGGCAAAGGTATCCTAAAAAAGCGAGCGAAGATTGGTAAGGCTTCTCCAGATACCTGACACCGCATAGCCTAACCCGAGTCAACAGTCTTGTCCAGCGAAGATGTCAAGAAGAGCTTCCGCAAAGGCCTTTTCGCCAAAGACGTTCTCAGGAAGTACGGAGAGGATTACGCAAAGTCCGAACCGTATAAACATGGCGTCATCACCTCCCTCATCGATGATGACCTCCTCCGCTCGGTTCGCGACGAAATTCGCGAGAATGTCCAGTTCACCCCAAAGGAAACGGATATTTACAAGATCCACCAATCTGGAGACTTGGCCAACCTCGACGGGTTAGAAGATAGTGCTTTGGAGAAGCTGCCATCTGTACTGAGGCTGAGAGATGCAATGTACTCTTCCCAGTTCCGGAAATATGTTTCCAAGATTACAGGCTCGGGAGAGCTGAGCGGACGGAAGACGGACATGGCGATCAACGTGTATACACCTGGATGCTATCTACTGTGTCACGATGACGTGATTGGAAGCCGAAGAATCAGCTATATCCTGTACTTGACAGATCCGGATATACCCTGGGAAGAGAAATGGGGTGGTGCGTTGAGATTATTCCCTACGACTACCCATGAGGATGATGGGGTTACGACTATTACGCCAGATCCTGATACTAGCAAGATTATCCCTCCTGCTTGGAATCAATTGAGCTTCTTCGCAGTACAGCCCGGTCTTAGCTTCCATGATGTTGAAGAGGTTTATCATGCGAAGAACGAGAAACAGTTGGCGAAGGATGGTAACAGAATCAGGATGGCTATTAGTGGATGGTTCCATATTCCTCAGATTGGAGAGGAGGGATATGTGGAGGGCGAAGAGGAGAAATGGGGAAAGAACAGCAGCTTGAAGCAGTTGCAAGGTAACCCGGATCGATACGATATGCCCAAACCACAACCGATTACAGTTGACCTTCCGACCGAATCGAATGTAGAGGGATTCGATGAGGCGGATCTCGATTTCTTGTTGAAGTATATGGCTCCTACCTACCTGACTCCGGATACATTGGAGGCTATTGCAGAGCAATTCGCGGAGGAGTCTACAGTTACCCTCGATGGTCTTCTCTCCAAAAAGTTCTCAAGTAGAGTACGGGAGTACGTTGAAGCTCAAGAAGCATCTCCACTCCCTTCCAGCAGTACCGAGATTGACAAAGGTCCCTGGAAAGTCGCTAGGCCGCCACATAAGCATCGTTACTTGTATCTTCAACCGTTCAGTAGCTCGACTGTCGACAAGGCTTCCCTGGAAGACCCGATCAAGGAGTTGACTGAAGTCTTTCTTTCGAGTCGACAATTTAGGCAATGGTTGAAGCTGGCTACGAAGGGCGAGATTGAGAATTACGATATCCTGGCTCGAAGATTCCGGAGAGGTCTCGATTATGCTCTCGCTACTAGCCATGAAGGGGAGCCGCGATTAGAGCTTAGTCTTGGCCTAACCCCGACGCCTGGCTGGGGTGCTGAGGAGGATGAGGGAGAGGGGGCCGATGAGCATGAGGAAAAGGACCCTGCGCCTAAGAAGAAAAGCAAGTCCAAGAAGAACGGGGACTCGCAAACGAATGGCAAGGACAAGAAGAAGGAGCCTGAGCCTGAACCTGAACCTGAGGAACCCAAAGAAGAAGATGATGTCGGAGGCTACGAGACCTACATGGCTGGCGACGAAGATGACGCAGCAGATGCGGCCGTGTACAAAGCTGCTACGGGCGAAGAAGACGATAACGTTCTCTTCACAATGCCAGCTACGTGGAACAAGATGAGTATCGTTCTGCGGGATAGTGGGGTACTGAAGTTCGTCAAATATGTCAGTAAAAACGCTAAGGGTGATCGGTGGGACATCAGTGGTTCCTTTGGGGTGAAATTCTCGGACGAGGAGGGTGAGGAGGAGATGGTCCCTTTGCCGGAGAGCGACGAGGAAGAGGTTTTTAATGGGTTCCCTGATTCAGATGATAGTGACTCTGATTGAGAGTTGGATACGGACGTGGCCACCGTGTGTTTGTATGTTGGGCTTGACGGGAAGATTGCCTGATCCAATCGACAGGACTGCAGTTGATAATCTAGATATAGAATACAACAATCCTCGCAAACAAAAGCAAAACCAGACTCCGCCGTAAAGTACATATCAAGATCCCCTTTCTCTTTACAACAATTACGATATACATAGCAAACCCCCCTTCGTACTCTACTCGCGCGCTCTCCCCATATTGCGATCCGCCAAGCCAGCGTGACCTTTCAGAGTGGAACTTCCATCTCATGCGTCCCCAATATTTTTGGTACACGTCTACGTAGATCTACTTACCTGTCAAGGTGCTGCTGAGGATGATTTGTAGAGCTGACAAAAAAAAAAGAGGAAAAGGGAAGAGAAGAAGCTACACTACAAGATCTAAAGCTGATGCGGTGGTGTACTTAACCAAGTTCCTCGCCACATGGATCTCGTTTGCGTTTGCTACGGACAGTAGCATCAGTCGACGATACGATATTGTACAGTATCAATCTGCATAAAAGGCTGTTGATGGAAAGTGGTGGTCGCTTGCTTGCTTGCTGCTTAGCCAGCTGTCTGCCTCTTCTGGAGATACCGGCGTCGCTTACTCCCAAGGTAGGTAAGTAGTTCGGTACTGACCGTATCAAGCCGATTGGAACAATTAAGGACGGAGCTGTGGATATTTTTTGCCATGGGTCAAGAAGAGAGAGATTGAGAAGGCGACGACCACGACGATATGTATGCGAAGAGAGCTAGCAGGCCGGCTAGCATGGCTAGCAAAGCTAAGGTTGTCTGGGTTTATGATGCTCCCTTATCAAAACATGTAAGTCTCTGGATCGCATTAAGTTGAAAAAGGACCAAGTGCTGATGGATTTATCTGTAGATGGGTTTTACCTAGGCAAAGGCCGATGGCGATGGTGAAGACGACAGCTAGTATTATGCGAGTTGTCGTGGACTCGTTTTTTTTTTGTCATCTCTCAACGGGCGGTAAACCAAACGATGGGATTGCTCCTCTGACTTTGAGCGTGTCGGATTCGTGAGTCGGTAATCAAAATCTCAGATGAGCTCGAGCCGAGTCGGGGTTTGGTGTCTGGGACCTGAAGCAGCCCTTTGAATGTCCCGGCATTTCTGGGACATTGAAGCGGCCGTCATGCACCAGAAACTTCGGCCCTTTCCTGAATACGCAAATCAACATTCGAGGGTGCTCCATGTCCCATTCGATTTGGAATGTCCCGCGGGATGTCAAAGAGCCAGAAACGTGGGACAAAAGGTGCGACTTGCAACAAAACTCTCTCAGCAAGCAGCACGCTTTTGCCACGTGATCAAGATGGGCCTGTTAGTAAGCTCTTTCCACGGTCTCGGGTGGCAGAATCCCAAACAGTGATAATCAGGATCACGTAGGTGGGAGAACTACCGACCTTCATTTATTCTTCGTTGAATAGTGAAGGTCAGAAGATATCCAAGATACTCCCACAATATGATCTATTCACGACAAGTTAGGTTAACTTGCGCAGCAACACGGGAAGATTTGAAGCCGAGGAAACGCCCTCAAAGAGTCTGAAAGGGAGAACGCCTTCAAAGAAAGGAAGAGATGTGGGTGGTTGCAGAGGGGGGGGTGTCCCTTTCGATCTCCAAAATATATCCAGTTCCATCTACAACTGCAAATTCAGAACAGAAAACTCTCACGCCGCTCGCTTTGGTGCTACGTGAGCTGCTTGCCATCTACCTACTCGACACTCAACTTATCCAGCTCTACTAAAGCTTAAGGCAACATAATTATATACAGCTGACCGCGGGGTGACATTTGGCCACCGCCGGATAAGCGAATGCGAACACGACGACGGGCGTGGAATTCAGCGAATCACGACTGAGCCAGAAGAGAAGTAGTTGCCTATGGAGTGGACAGAGCGTACGATAGTCGAAGTCTGAAACGGTGCTTTGCGAACACACAGATACATATATACATATATGTATATGTAGGTATATATCAGACGCCTGGCTACTTTCGACCTGTCTGGTCTCCTGTTTCTTTCGCTACTCATTCTGAGCTGTTGTCTTGCGTACCCGTAATGTTTTTCTTCTATCTGAAGAGCCTGGTCCTGCTTCTGGTATCTGGGATCGTGTACGGCAATATCAGTAGCTGGATTAGATGGAGGCGGTTGAGGCAATGGGGAAAGCAGGTGAGCAGAATTCTTGGGATCCCCAACTCTGAGCACTGATATTAACCTGACGGCAAGTATGGATGTGGTGAGGCGCCAAAGCAGCTGAACAAGCTGCCTTGGGGAGTCGAGAAAGTTTGGTTCATGATCAACAATATAAAGGGTATTTATTTGCTCTCCCTCTCTCTCTATCCACCTCGACCCTCTCCCTTTGTCAAATTGTTTTTAAATATCTTAATTGCCATATTGACTGGGGACGCCAGGTCTGGATTTCCTGGAATACATACGTGGGCGCTACGTTAATATGCAATGTTATACCTATCGCATACACGGCCTCTTTTTCAACTCCATGGTCACAACCTCGGACCCCGAAAACATCCAAGCTATCCTCGCCACCAAGTTCCCAGACTACGACCTGGGACCCGCGCGCAACGATGCTTTTTACGAGCTCCTCGGCAATGGCATTTTCACAGCCGAAGGCAAGTCATGGTCGCATTTCCGCCAACAGCTCAGACCCCAGTTCACCCGCGACCAAGTGAGCGACCTCGAGGCGGCCGAGCATCACCTCAACGTCCTCTTCAAAGCCCTGCCCGAAGAGAACGCATCGGGCTGGGTCGAAAACGCCGATTGGCTTCCCCTCCTCTACCGCTTCACCCTCGACACCAGCACCGAGTTCCTCTTCGGGCGGTCGGTCAACTCTCAATCCACCGCCCTGCACGCCTCGGACTCGGGCTACTCAGCCGAAGAACAGGAGAACCTCGCGTTCGCGAAAGCCATGACCGACGCCCAGGAATATGTGGTTTCGCGCCTGCACTTCCGCATCATGGCCTACTTTCCCATGTCCAAGGCGTACAAGAAGTCCTGCGCTACTGTGAAGGCGATGGCGGATCGCTTCGTGAAGCGCGCGGTGGAGTCGAGCCACGAGCGCAAGGAGGAGCCGATCGATGGCGAGAAGCGGAAATTCGTGCTGCTGGATGCCCTGGTGGCCGAGACGAAAGATCCGATCGAGCTGAGGGATCAGACGCTGCACATCCTGCTCGCGGGCCGCGATACCACCTCCTCGCTCCTCGGATGGACGATCCTCCTCCTCGCCCGCCACCCCGAAGCCTTCCAGAAGCTGAGACGGGCCGTGATGGAGCAGTTCGGCTCCGAGACGCGACCGACTACGCGGGAGCTTAACTTCGCCAGCTTGAAGGCCTGCAAGGAAATGACGCACGTCCTGTACGAGACGCTCCGCCTGTACCCCATCGTTCCCATCAACGGCCGCCTGGCAACGAGAAACACGGTGCTGCCCACGGGCGGCGGCCCGGATAGGAAGCAGCCGATCGCCATCCGAAAGGGGGAGCCGGTAGGGTACTCGGCGTATGTGATGCACCGCCGCCGAGACCTCTGGGGCGAGGATGCCGACGACTTCAAGCCGGATAGGTGGGAGGGCAGAAAGCTAGGCTGGGAGTTTGTGGGCTTCAGTGGAGGGCCGAGAGTGTGTATTGGTCGTAAGTCTTTCCCCTTGTTGTCGCTAGCTTGTGACTTGTGACTTTGTGATTTGTGACTTGTGACTTGTGTGGGTGAGAGAGAGCATGGGGCTGATAGGGGATAGAACAATACGCGTTGAACGAGGCCAGCTTCTTCATGGTGAGGGTGCTGCAGAGGTACGACGTGATCGAGGCCTTGGACATGACGGGTCCGCTGAAGAAGGGCCTGACGATTACGTTGCAGCCCGGGGATGGAGTCAAGGTCAGGATGCATAGGGCGAGCTCTTGATCGAGCCGCGCCGCGAGTTGGTTGGAGCCGTGGATACTGATCCAGGCGCTCAAAGCTGATTTTTCCCGTTTTTACCTTCCCTGTTCCCTTTCCTGCTCTGGTTTTCGTCTGATCATTGCGGAAACGTAGCAAAAATGGGTATCAATTTTCTTCATCTCAAAAGCCTAAAAAAAAAAAAAAAAAAAAAAAAAAACTAGCCGCTTCCCAGCTCCGCAACGCAGAAAGTGCATACATACATACAATAATCCATGGACAAGCAAGCTCAGCTCAGCTCAGCTCAGCTCAGCGCTCCTCCTCCCACGGCATTCAGCGCACCCGAAGTCCCCGCACCAGACCCAGACCCAGACCCAGACCCAGATCCAGACAGGAGCCCTCCCTTCCTCTTCCTCTTAGTCGGCGGCTCCGGCTTATAGCGGCCAAAGGCCACCTCCAACTCATCCTCCGTCCACCGCCTATGCTCCTCACTCCCGATATAGCAGCCCTTCTCGTCCCGTGCGAACCACTTCTGGTACTCCCGCCGCGGCATGTACACCACCTTTAAGATCCTGTCCGCGTCTCTCCTACTACCACTACCACTGCCACTGCTACTTCCGCCGCCGCCTTTCAGTTTCCCGAGCAGGCCTCCGAGTTTGCCCCCTTCTGGCTTCTTCTCCTTCTCCTTCTTCCGCACGTCTTCTCCCTCGGCGGCTGCCGCGGCCTTGATGGTGGGAGAGGCAGAGGCAGAGGCAGAGGCAGAGGCAGAAGCAGAGGCAGAAGCAGAGTAAGATGGCGATGAAGGAATCACATCCGTGATGATGGCAGGGATGATGCTATCATCGGTATACCGCTTCGGCAGCAGCTGCGGCACGGTGTACATGTCGCCGGCCATGCTAGCGAGGGAGCTGGCGCGGAACCGCAGCGGCGCGGGGCGGCCCGTGGCCGTGAAGTGCTGCATGTCATACTCGGAGAGCCCGGCGGGGAAGGGGGGGCCGGCCTGATTGTCCATGTTCGGAGCGGGGGAGGGCGGGTGCTGCTGGCTGACGAGAGGCTCGGCGTCGGAAGAGGAGGAGTAGGGGGGGCTTTCCTCCTCCTCCTCATCCTCCTCCGCGGCTGTTGGGGGAGGAGTGTTGCTGCTGCTGCTGCTGTTGGGCTTGGGAGCGGCGTACGCGATGGACTTGTTGTCCGTGTCGCGGTATGGGAGCATGCGGGCTTGGGTCTGGGTCTGGGATTGAGATACTGCTCTTGCCGAGCTGTTGCGGCGGCGGGCTTTCTGGTCGGGTCGGGAAGGGAAGCTGAAAGGCATGTTGGTTATTGTTATTGTTGTTGTTGTTGTTGTTGTTGTTGTTGCAAAGCAGCGTTCGACGTAAGACTTATATATCTTGGTAATGAATAAACGGTATTGGTATTAGGACCGAGACAATCTAATGTCAGATGATGATACTGAAGTTGCAATCCGTCACGACCGTACAATTCATCAAGTTGACGATCTGGTCCAACCAAAGCAGCGATCTCTAAGCAGGACGGCTGAGGTTGGTCACAGGATGTCATAAGTTGCAGTTGTCACACTCACTCACTCACTTACCATATATATCCGTATTCGAGAACAAGGTCTTCAAGCCCCAAGATATGGAAGCGAAAAAAAAAATTACTTCAAATCCGAGGGCAGAAATGCTGGCTCGGCTTGTTGCCTGGCGATCTTGAGAAATCCGGCGGGTCCGGACTAAGAGAATGGAGGGAGAGAGGGAAAGAGGGAAAACAAAAGGAAAGAAAACAACTCCTTCGTACGAAATCTACCCCGCACGCACGCACGCCCGCGCGCACTTTGTCCAACCCAACCCATCGCTGCTGGCAAAGATTGTGATGGGTCAGCGACTCGTTGTCGATCTCGGTCTCATTTACGTTCAGGATAAACAAAGGCTCTATCTCGTTATCAATCCAGGCCGGCAAACTTCTGGTTGGAATAGAAGAAAGGGCAAGAGGGGGTGAGGCCAAGAGGGCAGCAGGCATAATAGCGGGTAACGCGGACAAGATACTCCCAAAACCAGAGAGGCAAACGGGATATACTGCTAGCAACAGAAAAACTTAATCAATTATACACAATACAATTCAAAACGGCATCGGCCCTGCTTTGGAAAATAAGTACACGGAGGCGCTCATAACTCTAAAAATGGTATATCCAGCGTCAGAAAGAAGCCCGTTGCATAGAAGAACGCCCATCGCACGCTAAGCAAACATCGCAAAGGCAGGCAGCCATCCCCTTTCCAAAACACCTTATTTAAACAGTGCTCTTCCCCTCACGAATCCAATAAATATCTACAAAAAGAAAAAGCGTCACTGCGGTAGGTAGACTTATAACTCTATCCCCTCCGCCATCTTTTGGCGCAGCCGATCGAAATAAGCCTTCGGCCATGTCTTCGTCAGCTGGTCGTTAGTAGGCGGCTGCTTGTTACACCGATCCATCACACTAGCCAATATACGGCCCAGCAAGTCTTCTGTAATAGGTAATGCCTCGTCGTAATCAACCGGATTCAAAAACGGATCTCTGTCACTCAGCAGTTGCTCCGCCGAAGGCCGTTGAAACTGATCTCTGTTGAGACATTTCTTGAGCGTCTTGATGAGAGAAGAAGGCACAGGCACCGACCCAACGCCCAGAGAGGGATATTCGATTTCGTAGTTGAAGTTGATGATAGCTTGACACCGTTGCATCTGGTTGGGGATGTGGGCGAAGGGTGCGCGGCCGTAAACCATTTGGTAGAGAATGCACGCTAGACTCCACACGTCGCTGGGTTTCCCGAGTTTCATTAGTCGTGGCTCGTTGGGGATACGGCCTCTTGAATCAGGTTTTGCGTTCGAGTCCATCAGGGACTCAGGGGACATGTAATTTGGGGTACCGATTTGCGTTTCTCTGTGGACGTTTACGGTCTCGTCGGTTTGGATGGCGTTGGCGATGCCGAAATCGATCAGTTTTAGTCGGCCTTGGACCAGGACAAAATTGTGTGGCTTCAGGTCGGAGTGCACAATGTCGTGCTCGTGGATTGCTTTTAGACACTCGAGCATTTCTTTCCAATAGTGGCGGACGAAGCTGGGGTCGAATTTGGCGTTGTCGGACTTCAAGCGCATTTCGAGCATCTTGTTCATATCCAGTTCTCCCATTTCCATCAACTGCAAGACATTAGTATGCGTCGCAAATACGCGAGCTCGAGCCACTTACAACAGTCAATGTAGACTTTTCCTCGTTCAGCTCAAAGTCCCATAGACGGATAACTCTTTCCACTCCTTCAAGCTTCTTAAGCAAATCAATCTCGCCCTTAAAGCCTCTGACTGCTGACTCGTCCGCGTCTTCGAGAGAAACCCGCTTCAGAGCAAAGAACTTCGAATTCTCCGCCATCACTCTGTAAACCCGGGAACTTCCACCACGACCAATGCAATCCAATCTGGTATAGATCTTTCCGTTAACCTTCATCTTATTCCTCTTCCCGCCTGCGTGAGAAGCCGTGGCAGCACCAGCAGTACTGGTCGCGGCATCTAAGATTGACATTTTAGGCGGTGGAGGCGGCGGTGCAGGTCGTCGAGGGGTGTTTTGGCTCCTGAGTGTCAATGGCCGTCTCTTCGAGGGAGTGGATGCCCGTAAAATGTCCAGGTCTACGCTCTCCGGACGAACAGGAACTTTTTCCAATTTATCAAGGTGTATCAACGGGGCCTGCTTGTTTCTCTTGAATGTTGGAGGTGCCTCGTTTTCTTGGTCGTGTGCTGAAGGTAAGTCCGGCCTGGGAGCTGGGACTTTGAAGACTGGCTGGACAGCTGGCGGAGCTGCTTGTGCCTGTGAGGAAGCTACCCGCTGAGAGCTAGCCAGTGTAGGGGGTGGTGGTGATGTTGATCTCAGGATAGAGTTCAGAGCATCTTTTGAACTGATAGGACTCCCGGAAGCAAAATCTCTGTATGCCGAGGAAGCATAGAACGACGCCTTGTTTGGCTTTGACTCCTCGCTGGAGCCTGCTTCTCGATTCTGTGATTCGGGTGCTTGCGACTCCTGGCTCTGAGGCTCTTGACTCGAGGGTGCGGAGTCCAAGCCATCACCATGCTCTTCAACTGGGCTTTGTTCCTCGTCCTCCATCCGTCTTCTCCCTCGCCGAGCGGGACCACTCAAAAAGTTCCCGGTCCCAATTCTCTTCACTCGCATGGAACTTTGTAGTCCAGCATTTTCACCGAAACGTGTGCGTCCAATCGTCGAAGGTCCATATTTTGATACACTCCCTTGGCTCGTCGCCAGCTGGGCTTTCGCGACAGTCGAGGGATAATCTTGAGGCTCAATCTCCTCTTCGTCATTCTTCGATGCCGATTCCGTCCTATACGAATGTTTCCCTGAAGATCCTGCTGATGCCCCATGGTTTCCAGAGTTAGAGGCGGGTATGCGAACCTTCCGGGGGACTTGAGCTGGTGTACTCAAGTCCAACGGGCTCTCGACCTTGGCCTTCTCGGAAGACTTTTCGTTCTGCCACCGCGATGCATTTGATCCTGAGGATGTCCTTCGCATATTCGAAGAACCAGGCGTGGTGCTCAATCGCACAACTCGTCTCTTATGTGGACTCTTGACCCTAGTGCCCACTGGTGATAGCTTGTCTGCGTTGAGGCCCGCACCCCCCGCCTTGAATTGGAACCCTCCATCCGTCGACTCTGGCGTAGTCTTCGCTGTATGTGGTAGTGACACTTCGACTGCGGGCGTGGCATCATTCAGTAGGGCGTTTGTCAAGGCCGAAAACTTCATCATCGGCAGGGGGGTCTCGTCGTCGGAGCTATCGTTCATGGAATACGTCCGCACATGGGCCACCGAGGACACCGGGTCGCTACGATACAATTGCGGTCTTTGTATTGGTGGCTTGAAGTTCTGTCTTGAGGCTGGCCGCCTCAGCGATGCGTAATGGGATGATCCCATTGGGGTCGGGGATGCCATGGCCATTAAGGGTTTCCAGGGGCTGCACGTCAATTGATAATAATTAGTTGGCGATGGTGTCGGATGCTGGGGATTAGCGCGTCGATTCTGATTTTTCCATGCTCAATCAATGGGATTGGGGAGCGAAGGAATCTTCGCACGTCGTGGGCGCGAATTGTCGCGTTTTCAGGTTGCGGCTGCGGGTCGAAATATGGAATTGCATTTGTTTGAGCCCGCCATCACCACAGCAACGCCGGGTGGATCCTTCAACTTACCTTCTCCGCGAGGCTGATACTTGGACCACCTCGCCTCCCTCTACCATTCATTAATGTAGCTGAAAATGAGGATTTGGCTTTGGAAGTGATATCGGTTTTTCCGTTTTGTATTTCTCTCAATAATGTTAGCTTACTGTAACGTTTAGCAACCTTGTAGCGTAAACTTTCCATTCTTCGCTTCGGCTACTATCACTACATGTACAATGACTTCAGATTCGACACAATCAACGTACGTACGTGCGAGATGGTAAGGAGCCTGAAAACAGCAAATGGATAATAGTAATATTTCCATCATTCTCAAACCTGCGATTTTCAAAATAGAATAAGTCGATATCGTTAGTTTATCGTCGATACCAATTGCCAAGCGAGTACGGTAATCGCCACGCTTGTTTTGGGGTCCAAACACCTCTTCCACTCCTGACTGTACCTATATAACAGCCATCTTTTTGGGAGTGAGTGATTACCAGAGTCCCCAGACTGAAGAGGCGTGAGAAGCAAGGCCAGAAATAAACAACACCATGATCATAACAAACAGCCTCCACGTTCTCTGCTTCGGCAATAGCATCACAGCCGGATACACGCAGGGCGGCCGTGGATTCCATCCATATGCCATCGCCCTGCAAGAAGCTCTGGAACAGGCATGGCCTTCGTGGAACATCTCTACCGATGTCCAAGGGCTGCCGGGGGACCAGGTGATAAGCCCACCCGGAGCCTTCCTACCACGGATGGACACGCTATGTAAGTCGAGTCAAGCACCGATTACGATCCTTACTTTGCTTCTGGTTCAGTGACATAACGAAGCCCCCATCACCTGGTAGCGATGTGGTGTTTTCTCGTTGATCTCATTCATCCCTCAGACTTTGGTCCATCTTCTAACACAATCCAGACGAAGAAGTCCACCCCGTCCACCCCTACGACTGGGTCATCATCCTCGGCGGAACCAACGACCTGAACCAGAACCGCGTCTCACGAGAGATCTTCCCGGCCCTCGAAAAAGTCTGGGACATCCCCCTTTCAGGCAACACCAAAGTCCTCGCTCTGACCATCACCGATTGCGGCTTCTGTGCTCCTCAAATCGGAGCGAGAAGAGCGGATCTCAACCGAAGAATCCTCAAGCATGAAGCCGACAATTTGTAAGTCCACCCTGTCTTAAATACAAGCTGCATTCTCGATCTGGGCTTGAGAATTGTAAATCGGAGAGGGGCCGGACTGATGGTGTGATAGTTATACTTATGACCTCTTCAGAGCAATTTCGTTCTGGGACATGCCCGAGAAGAGGCGGAGGGATATTTGGGATGATGGGTTACATTTTACTGCTGAAGGGTATGATTTGATGGGTAAACTATTAGCTGCTCGACTTATTGAACTCATCGAGGAAGAAGAGAGGCTTGAGCCGGAGAAGGGGGAATTGAAATAGAAGAGTATGGTAGAGCAGAAAGAAGTCGTCCATGGGAGAAGGAAGTTGAGGAGTGAAAGGATGCTTATATGAGAGGTGGATTTGTTATCGCTTGCGAAGTATAGCCTGCATCTGAGTAGCTCTACTGTGACATTGTACTCCGCTCGCTAAAGCTAAAGGCCGCCACGTCGTTGGTAGCTAGAATTCTTGAGATGCAAGAGTCTGGGATAGTTGTACAATATGGTGCGTATATTAGGACTGATCTCGTGCGCACAGGGAGTTCCTGTGAAGTCTGTATATTACCCGCTCTTGTTGGGCATCCTGGCCTTATTTCTGTAACGCCGTTGCAATGTTTTGAATATCCGCTGCTAATAACCGTGCAGGTCCTCTAAACGCCAATCCATAACCCGTCTAGCTCAGTACTCATAAAACCAGATGCTTTGCAACAAACTCCTGTTACCATTGTTAGCAGGTTATAAGTGCTTGAAATCGGGACGGACTAACGGGATAAACGAGCTGAAGCTCCGAAGTAACCTTCTCGACTTCTTCAGCTAGACCCTGAACATTTGAATCCCATTGCTTCAGCTCTCGTCCCACAACACCCTCCGATCTGCCACTTCCCTTCTCGCCCGTAGCTTCCCCACCCTCGAACCAGATGAATCGCTCGATTTGATCGATACGTCCCCTCAGGCGACCCTGCTCAATCATCCTAGCAGTGGTTTCCTCGGCTTTGTCCCCATCCAGACCAAGCAGCAGTCCCAATGCATCAAAGCCAACATTGCTGTACAGTCTCGAAGCAGCTCTTAAATTGTGTTCAACCACTGCCTTGTCCAGAACCGTACTTCCATCTGATGTCCTCGCCAGTTGGTGTTGTGCCAGACCCTCCGCGAACTTGGCAACCTCCTCCGGACTTAACAGGCGATCCAGGAACATCTTCTCCAGAATGCTGTACTCCTCCAGCGTACTCACTCTCTCGTCTTTGTACAGACGTCCCAGTGCACGGCTTCGGGCTGGTCCAGCAGGAGCAAGGACAGCGCATTTTATAGCCATGCTCAGCGTATGCAATCTCTCTTCCTCAGCAATAATCGGCATAAAGCTGAGGTCCTGGTAACCTTGCGCCGCATCCAGGAAATTACGTCTGGCATCTTGGATTCGTGCCTGGCAAAGACTAAAATGCAGGTTCATCTCTCGGTCCGTCACAGTGTAGATCAAATTCTTCGCCTTGTTCAGGTATTGCTCTGCCAACGCAGTATCATCCACCTCCAGGTAATTTCTCGTGATGCGAATCCAGAAACCAACCTTATCGCGGTTCGTGATCTTGCGCTGAGAGCTCTCCAGCGGGATTCCAGCAAGGATCTTCGCAGCCGCAAGAAAGTCTTCGTCTTTTTCGTACGCACCAGCCATAAGCTCGCGGATCTGGGCATTCTGCTCTTCGAAGGAGGAGGCTTGCGATTGGAAGATTGATAGTGCATGTTCGCCGACTTCGATTTTGGTCTCGTTGCTGCCGACCGATTTCAGGGTTTGGACGAAGGAGAGGGTGAGATTTCGGGTCGCTACTATTCCCAGAGCGCAGGCGAAGATGCTGTCAATTACCGCGATGAGGTCTTTGGGGAGGACTTTCGAGGAAGGGGTATTGTAGAGGCTTGCGAAGAGGGCTTCGTAGCCATTTTGCTCGTCTCCAGAACCTTCGATCTTGCTGAGCATAGCCTGGATCTCTGGGGATGCCATGTTGAGATTAATATCTGAGTCTTATGTTGGGAGAGTGGTTCGTGGAGCTATGGTGAGTGACTTGGGGACGAAGGTGGAGAGCTTGAGCTGATGAGGCTGAGGCTGAACACGATAGCGGGGAGAGCTCTTGAGGCTGATGCGGTATCAAAGCCGCTAGCTCTGCCGCGCGCGGCTTAGCCGAGCTGTCTACATCCTGGCTCTTACTGTATTCATTTCCTACTGCACGATAAAGCTGGGTTCATATTATGGATCGCATTATCCGTATATAACTTCTTGAGCTATGGATTGAAAGCTATCGGACAAATAATTCTGCGTTATATCCCATCAGATGCCGAGAACATCAATAATGCTTATGAATAATTTGACAAAGTCTAGACGATATCGAAGACGTGTTAGAGCATATGACTGAGGAAAAGATGACGAGAAATGGCAACAAGAAGTACCCGAAGACAAATCCTTGAAGCATATATTGAGATTCTGGATACGTTGCAACCCTGCTGACTTCGAATAGTGCTAAAGTGGATTACGAAGGCGTTGTTTGCATCGAAGTTTTGATATTGATTATGGCAAGTATACGACGCATGGAGAAGTAGGTGGGGGAGCTCAGAATCTGTTGATCATATTCAAATCCAACCATTTCGATCAATGTCACCAGACTGAGGCCGAGTTCACAAGACAAGCAAGACAAAATTGGAACACACACTTGACAAATCATTGACGCGTAAGTATTGGCAGTGGAAAAGATTACAATGAGGACTATTTTTGATGTCGTGAATTCAGTCGCACCTTGCTTAGGTTCAATTCCGAGATCTAGCAACGTCCCGCCGAGCCATGTAGAGAGCTCTCTCCCGTATACCGAAGACCAGGCATGCTTTCAAATCGCGCGAAGTGAGCAGTCGGTCAGCCGATCCAGCATCGCCGTCGACAATAAATCTCATTCAAAATGCAGAAACGCCAGCGGAAAATTCCCTCCCATACCAGTAACCTCTCCCAAACGCCGCCCATGCAACAAAACTACTGCGCCTCTCAAACATCCTCGAACTTTACATCCTCGTCGTCTTCTCCGTCTTCCCCATCCGCCATATCACTATCATCGGCTACGGTGCCCTCGAGCGGCGCTGCTTCATCACCCCCATCGTAGTTCTCAGGTCTATTCGCGGGCTTCAGGTACCAATTGCCTGTAAACTTTCCACTTTTTGCTAAAACAGCAATTAAATCGAGGGTTTCTCGCAGGTAGACTTCTGGTTGTTTGAGTTCGTTGCGGAGAGCTTTCAGAGACCAGTAATTGTATCTTCTGAAGCATTCAAAGATGCGGTCCAGAAGTTCGTTCTGGGGCATACGGGCGGTCTTCGTCATTTGTGGACGCTCCTTCGTAGCTGGATTCTTTGTTTTCTGTAGACTGTTAGCCGGGAGAAGTAAGTGTGGAGTAAAGAGCTTACAATAAAAGAGTTGAAGGATTTCTGAGCGCCCATGGTTCCAGGTTGGATGAAGGTGACTCCCAGGGTTTCTTCATCCTTGATGTATTTAGTATGTAGCTTGGGACGCATAGCCTCCAGAGTTCTCTCCGCCAGAATGCGCTGTGACTCCTGGTTGTCGACTGCAACACAATTGACTTCATGGCCGATCCTACCTGCAAGCGTGGTCTTCTCTGCCTGACCGTTAGCTCCCTCTCCAGCAAGAATGAGACTGCACTAACTCGGGATTGCCTTTCTGAAGTATGGCTGGAACCGCTTGTTCGGGTCATATGGCTGCTTGGTAATTGGCTTGTCATTCTTCGGGCGGGTGAGTCGGGCAGGCATGTTCGCGCTTGCGGGGTCGAATTTGGCTCTCGATCTAGACTTGAAGCCAGGCAGGTCCTTCTCTGTGAACACATAGGTATTGTTGACGGTCTCGGCGGTCACGTCTAGGTCAAACTCCTTAGGAATTGCTTGATGAGCAGCAATATCGGAGGTGAGAAGCATCGAAAGGCGTGTTGTCTGCAGCAGGTTAGCTATACAAGTTGCCCAATGGTCTGGAGTGACTTGCGCCCTGGGGTGTTGCACTCTGTCGAATTGTCCCAATCTGTATCTCCGCATCATCATCGAGTTTTGACCATGCCTCCCATAGGTACTTCGGCACTCGAGCGAGATAGAGCTTTTGGAATGCTGGATCGGGGTTGAATTCCAGATCTCCTGCCTCTTCGTAGATATCCTCCTCGCTGAGGCCTGCAGGCGAGCCCTCGTTCTCAGGATCCGGCTTGATCTTCACGTCCTCCATAGTGCGAATGCGGTTGCGGTTGCAGTTGCAGTTGCAGTTGCAGTTGCTGTAGTTATTGTTTGACAGACGCTCTATCGTGTGTAACCTGTAACCAAGCTGAGAAAATGAAGGTCGTGGGAAGTATGCGCCAGCGCGCTTTGTTCTTTGTTGAGCAGTGACCTAGAAGATGAATGAATGATTGTTAACTTGAATGTAGAGAATCAGCAGCCTTACGACAAGGGTGTGGGGCGCAAGCGGCGCAAGCCCACAAAAAAAGCTAGCCTAAAAAGGTTTAGCGTGGTTCTTGCCACTTGCAATCGAACTTATAATCATGTCCCGCATTTTCCTCGCAATAAAAACCCCGACATTCACACCACCAACGCCCCGTCCCTTTCGACTACGAGGTCGGCCTTGTAACATCACAGCTTCATGCATCCTTAGGATAGTGATAGAAAAACTAACTTGCAGAAGAAAAGAAAAGAAAAACAGCTATGGCTGATGACCCTGAAGCTCTGGCCGCGAAGGTCGCCCATTTGCAGAGTGAGTTGCCACGCGGGACGCGCCGCGCGCCTATCGTTTTCCAAAGTCAAACTAACAGACATCGCAGCCATGGTCAATCGAGCTAAGAATAGAGAGGTCCCGGAAGCCGATACTTCCTACGCATATCAGCAGAGCCATCCATATCCCTCCAGAGGCTCTAGAGGAGGATCCGGACGCTCCAGAGGTACATACCGAGGCAGAGGTGGTGGTAGATCTCCTGTGTATCGAAACAACAGTCTTGTCCTAAATGGAGCTGCAACACCCCAAGCTACCGCGAATGAAAATACGCCTCCAGCTACCACCGGAGCCAAGAAAGAGTGGACAACCAAGCCTACGAGACAGAGCCTCCAACTTATCAAGGGCGATGTCTTCGAGAAAGTTCACGCACAGTCAAGAGAGCAATCAAGAAAGCAAAAATTGAAGGTCAAGGAGCAACGAGAGCAAGCTAGGATCGAAAAAGAGCTACAAATCTTGGATTCTCGTAGCATAATGATTCAGGATATTCGATTCCAGGTTATGAGTAGAGGCAAGAAGCTTTACAGACTTCCAGGTGAGCGCTCGATTGCATGAATTGGTCAAATTGGACCAGTCGTCGACTTACAGTGTACAGGTGGCGATATTAAAAAGGCTACCCCCAAGCTGGCAATTGTTGCGGGTGTCAAATTCCTTAGGAGCAAGAACGGTCATTTGTATCGCGACTCTTCTCTTAGGCTTTTCCGGTACATTCTTTCACTTGGCCTTTGCACACAGCCTTAGTACCAATGCAATACTCACTGACAGAATCAGGATCGACAAACAAAAGGCTATCGCGAAGCCATGCCGCCAGTTCAGCATTACGGGTATTCCTTTTCCCCTTCAAACTTCACATCTGCGCTCACAGCGGAGGAGGGACGCGGGTTGCAGCTAACACTTCAAATTTCTTCTAGGTTCATGCTCAAAAGGCCCAGACTGTCCGTTTATCCATGACCCCTTAAAGGTGGCAGTGTGTCACACGTTCGTTAAGACAGGAGAATGTCCAAGTGGAGATTCCTGTGATCTTTCACATGAACTGACCCCACAGAGAATGCCTGCTTGCATGCATTTCTTACGAGGAAACTGCAACAAAGCAAACTGTCGTTATTCACATGTGCGAGTCTCACCAACTGCACTTGTCTGCAAACCATTCGGCAACTATGGCTACTGCGAGAAAGGTTTGAGCTGCAGTGAACGCCATGTCAACGAGTGCCCTGCCTTCAGCAACACAGGTACATGCCCAGTCACCGGATGCCAGCGACCTCACAGACACAAGGCGAGCAACATGCGAGCCAAAAATGCACGTGCCGAGGAACCCTGCCAGGCCGACGAAGATCACATCTCAAGTGATGAGGACGCTGATTCTGACGTTGACTCTGACGAAGTTGAAGAGTTCTTTGGTGATGAAGATGGAGTGGTTGATCAGGATATCCCAAATCAGCAGGATTACGTTACGATCAGAACTTAGGTCGAATGCCTTCTAGTTCTACCAGCAGCCTTCTGGCCTTGATTCCTTTTTCTGTTAACTGCGTGGGGATACATGGAGGGTGCTGAAGGGATGGTACGATACCCCGGACAAGAGTCCTAGCATTTTGTCTACGTTACTGTAAAGTTTTGCAGAAGAAGAGGAAAAAAGCAGAAAATAGAGAAAAAAATCGCAATGCATTGCATTCATAGGACCCCTTTGCTCTGCATATTTCTTGCAATTTTTTTTGTATATCCAGATGTCTCACCCCCGCCCAGTTGCGTTCTCTGCTTCTCAGCTCCGATATCTTTCTTCCAATCTGTCACTATCACATCACTGTTCTTTGGAGCTACTATTAGCAGAGAAAGAAAATGTTCATGACAACACCAATCTTGGAGCATGGGTCGTAATCTTTGGAGGGGAAGGGGGCCCCTTGAAAAGTAGCCAACCGTTGAGAGTTGACACCACACGACGCAACTTTGGACAGGCCCCCGAGATGGATATTTTTTTGCTTCAACCCCAACACGAACAATTCTCTACTTTCTGTTCTGTATCCTCCCTCTCTCTCCCTCTCTCTGTCTCTCTCTCTCTCTCTCTCTCCCGACTCCAGACACTCCCCAACCTGATATTCTCAGACGGGATGGGATATACGGACACAACACAACCACAACGAATATGTTATGATGATCGTATTGTCAGAGAGAGAGAGCTCTTGGGTCGATGTGCATTTTTGTTTGTTTGTAGTGATCTTTTGCCTGTTTCTGTTCAAGGGAATAGTGTAGTTTCGCAGTATAGCCATCAGGCTGCGGGAAAGGGGATGGAGAGATGGAGAGATGGAGAGATGGAGAGATGGAGAGATGGAGAGATGGAGAGATGGAGAGATGGAGAGATGGAGAGTTCAAGAGTTGGAAGAGTCAGAGAGTTAGCGAATATGCAGGCTACGCAAGCTTTGCAGCAGCGGGGGCCATTACGCGGCGGAGTGGCTCAAGCAAATCAAGCGACTACCTTATTAGGTAGACAAGTAAGCAAGCAAGCCGGCAACTTTGAACCCCTATTCTATTTTCTTTTTTCTTTTTTCCTCTTCTTTTCTTTCCTTTCTTGTGTCATGGTATTTCCCTCGTCGGTGATTGGTAGGTATACCTACCGGTCCCGGTACCGGTCCCGACACGTCGAGTTTAGACTTTCTTTCCCCTTTCCTCCCTGGGCCGAGGCGGGGCAGAAGGATTGCAGGAGGATTGAAGAAGGAATGTAGGTACCGTAGGTAGGTACCGTAGCGTAGCGTAGCAGGAGAAGAAGAAGAAGAAGAAGCGGAAAGAAAAGAATGAAGAAAGAAGGGGCGGCGGGCGGACGTACGCTTGCGGCTTGACTATTAGTAATCGGTATTTGTCTTTCTTTGAACGTCTTTTTGTCTTCTGTCTTCTGGGGCGGGGTTTTTCTTGGGTTTACTGGGGAAGGATCAGATGGGGGGGGTTATGTGGTGTGGTATAGGTAGGTAGTGTAGTGTGGTGTGGTGTGGTGTGGTGTGGTGTGGTCCTATACCTAAGCTAATTATCTACTTCGTATACCGGTATTCACGACTTCTTTCCTGGGAGATGGGCTACATGACTCGATGCGATGATGCAATGATGCGATCGATGATGGATTGGGATACACCGATCGATATAATATGGGAGGAATCGATATGGGTGGACGGGACGGGTACGGTACGGTAGGTCTCGCTTCTGCCCAGCCATCCCCTATCCTTACCTCTCTCTCGCTCGTTCTTCGTGGGGGAACGGGAAGGAAGGGGGGCCACTCCGAGTCGAAATGGTCTTGGGGTTCAGATGAGAGAAGAGAGATCTGAGAAGAAGGGAGGGATCGCCCGGCTCCACGGTCCTGGGTCCTTCCTGTACAGACGGAGTATGATGGACATATATGTATCTATATATGTATCTAGGTACTCCGTATATATAAGTTCTTGGGGGTGGAGGGGGACCGTGAACAATATGATATAAGATATAATATGATATGATATGCATGGTATGCATGATATGATATGATATAATATGATATGATATGATGTGATATGATATAGGTCGGCTTTGAGTTATATCACGGATCCCTTCCACGCCGTACGGGGGCGTACAGGAGAGGAGGTTGGGGGTTGAGATAACCGTTTTGGTCCGTCCGTCCGTCCATCCGTAGGGAAGAGGTGGACGGGGATGGAGATAGAGAGAGGAAATGATAACGGTGGTGATGGAGATGACGTTCATAGAACGGCAACGCCACGGGCCTTTTTTATATTTCGCATCGTTATGCGCCTGGTTTGATACCCGCTGCTACTCCTAGAACGTCGATCGCGCGGAAGGGAAAGAAATTGGGTGTTTCATGGGAGCACGAGCTTTTCGTTCGGGAGCTTCTATTACTCGGTTTCATCGTCCGTTCGTTTGATTGTGTACTCTGCCGCCTTGGGCTGCGCCGGTGATGGGTACGATACCTAGGTATGGATGGCATCGACAACTCGGCCCGTATCGTGAGAAAGGGGATCCCGGGGGGGGGGGGGGAAGATGAAGATGGAAGACATGCATCCATCCATCAGCCATTTGTCTCCCACGAAGGAGTTGAGCTCCGATCCAAGAATACGCAGCGACAAACGCTCCGTCCGATTGCACCCATCCTCTGCCGACGGGGACGACCACACAGTCTTTGGAGCGTGAGGTAGATGGGATCAGCTGGAGGGATCATTCGGTTCTACAGCATTGGATCTCCCTGCCACTTTTCCAAGGCCGGAGGAAATAAGGCTTGGGGCTGGCTGCTAGCCTGCGCGTTATACGGAGTATATCGAAAATCAGAATGATGAACCAAACCAAAAAAAAAAAAAAAAAGAAAAAAAAAAAAGGGGAAACCAAAAACCGAAATCGCAATCGCGTCTTTGTAAGAAACGACGACGTAACGCCGTCGCTGGAGGAATAGATTCGCCTCTTCTCTTCCTCCTTTTTCTTCTCATTTTTCTTGTTTTTCTACTTTCTTTTTCTGCTTCTTTTTGTGCCCCAATTTCTCTCCTGAAATAAATAAAGAAATAAAATAAGAGAAGAAGAATAAGAATAAGATTGCCGAATGGGCCTTCGGATAGATGTTTGTAGCCAATAGATAAGTATAGATAGGTCGACAATCGTGATCTGCACCCGGACGGGGCGGGGGTGGAGTGCGGGGAGAAGAAGAAAAAAACAAACCTTAAAAAAAAGGCTAATAATGTCGTCACTTGCCTGCCCACCCAGCCGAACTGGTGATACGTAGGAAAAAACAGATATAGATCTAATTAAAATAGTATATCTGCAGAAATAAGTTAAACAGTCTAGCTAGCTATAGACATATAAGTAAGATAGTAGAAGGTGTCATGAAGGCAGGTAGGGGGTCATTTTCAATGGTCCTCTGACCCTCTTCTACTGTATAAGCTAAAGTCGGTATCAAAATTCTAATGACGAACAGCTTAGGTACTTGATACGGAGGCCGTCTTATACTTAGCCCGTCCCCCCCTTTACTGTAAATATGCAAACCGAACTTCCGTCAAAAGGATGTAATCATCGTCTATATTTATTCTGCGATCGATTTCCACATGTCCTTCCTTTGAAGATCCATGCTAGTGACGATTTAAACGATCCAGAGCGTTCGCCTTCAGGATCTACTGCATCTCAGGTTATCAGGTAGATCGGCCTGAGGTGATCCACTAGCCGTGCCAACCTCTTCCGGTGCTCGCGAGACCGTCTCTGAAAGAAAATCTCCAGCAGGTGATCAGCTAACGGTTAAAAAGCTCTAGCATTCCCCCGCCCCCCCCTTCTTTTCAAGATATGAAAATAGAACGAGGGGGGAAAAAAAAAGCCTATGGGCGGTACGGTAGCAATGATATGAAAGCTAACCTGGCGCATGTCGATGGTTCAATCTCGGCTCTCTAGACTGACTCTCTTGCCGGGCCTGTCTGCCTTGATGCCTTGATAATTGGCGCGGGAACCCGAAGATGGTTGTTGGAAACTACCTAGGTCCCCGACCAGCTTTCGCCATTCCAGCAAATTTTTATCATTATTACTAATATTTTTACTTTCGGTTTTTTTTTTTTTTTTTTTTGGTTGGTGGTGGTGGTTAGGTTCAGACCAGATGCGGTTTTCAGCGAAAACCTCTTTCGCCAATATCGTAATGACCTGCCTGATGTTGCGAATACCTACCACGCTGGAACCAACCCCCCCCCCCGCGCGCGCTTATTCATTAATGCACGATCATCACCTACGAGCCGCGAGATTAAGAAAAGAAAGCTCAAGAAGAGACGAAGAAAAGGAGCGTAGAGAGCGAGAAAAGGAAAGAACTCCCCTCCCCCCCCTCAAAAAAAGGTGATGGCTGAGCTTTTTGCTTCATGAGGAAGACGGTATATGGTTGCATTGGGTAGAGCTCTTAGAGGTCGAGGCAGGTAAACGATAGGTACCAGTATTGCACTGAGCAGGCACGCAAGTGAATAAAACCATTCGTAGTTCAAGTCTGTTTCTCAAGTCTACCTAGGTAGATAATACGGTACCTACCTACATATCACAAGAAGTCAGATGACAATCTTCTAGCCCCTTTTGGGCTAGATTAATTATCGATAGAGGCAACTACCTAACTGTACTGTAGAGCAATGATTATTGGTATGTCGGAATGAAGCGATCTATGATCCTGGTAATGGAGGTGGTAAGATTTAAAATACCTACCTCCCCTTCCTATACGTTTGTGGTTTATCCATTTCGTTGCTTTCTTTGTCTTGCTCTTTATCTCACTTACTCACTTACTCACTTACTCACTCACTCACTCACCGCTCGGATGGATACCTACCTACCTACCTAGGTCCCTACGTCGCAAAGTCCAGGAGCGCGTCGGACGAGAAACCGATCATGATACCTACCTACCTACCTACCTACCCATCGTATCCCCCCGTTCCCGTACCCGTACCCGTAACCCGTTTCCGTTTCCGTTTCCGTCTCCGTTTCAAGAGGCGAGAGGTTCACGATCGATCTCGTGGGTTTACATTCTTCGGCGTGTTCTTTTTTATTTGCTTCTTCGGCGACCTTGGTCAGGAAGGAAGGAAGGAAGGAGGGCGGGATCGGAGATCGGAGATCGGAGATCGGAGGTTGGGAAAAAGTGTAAGTGTGTGTAAGTGTGTGTAATTTGTGTGTGTGTGTGTGTGTGTGTGTGTGCAAGTGTGTGTACAGATGAGTAAGGGAGCTTTTGCTGCAAGCTGCACGTTGCCGGGCGGGTATGCTGCTTGCTGCATTAGCTAGGTAGGTGTCTACGGAGTGCGCTAGGTAAGGCAGGCTGGCAGGCTGGCAGGCAGGCCGTGCAGGCGCCGGGCGGCAGTCAATTGCAAGTCTACGGAGCCTGGTGGGATAGGCGAGGCGAGGCGAGGCGAAGCGAAGGAAGGAGGAGGAGGAGGAGGAGGAGGAGGAGAAGGAGGAGGAGGAGGATGAGGAGGATGAAGAGAATATGCATGATATAGTTTTCTGCTGCCCGTTTGGATTCAGATTTACTACGTACTACTTACAGCACTGGTCGTGGCTCACTCACTCAGTTGCTTGGCGAGCAATTGTTTTCTTCGATCGATGCGATGCACCGTGGTATATACCGGTCAAGCCTATTGGAAATTTCATACCGGTATCTTATCCTCTGATAGAGAACCGGTCAGTCGGCTGGCGCGCGTCATATCTTGCCCCTTACATACAACACCTACAACCAGTACAAGTAAGTACAGGAGAGTGCGACAGGAGAAAAAAAAAAACAAGCTCGGGGGTCCAAGAATTCTTGTCTCACTCCGGCCCGTCGATTGGGTTGATTTGTGAATCCTCTGTGTGTCCTTTCCGCGTCTCGTTTCCAAAGTCGGTCAGTTACTTTTTCTTTCAATCCGTCAAGTGAGTCAGTCAGTCAGCTACAAGTCCCGGAATAGAAATACGGAGTACGGATAGACAGGCGGTGAAGTCCTGTCGCTCGCCAGCCGCCTTTCCGTCCCGGCAGAGCACCCGACGTCTGTCCTCCCACTCGGACGATGGGAGGAGGGGGGCAGAGTGGGGGGATTAGTGGGCGGTTTTTCCGCAGTGCACGCGTCGAGAGGATCTCAAGTAAATGTATGGACGGTCGGCATCTGGAAGGCCAAATGGGATGCAGTTATTGTCTGAGGGCCAAGCGACCCTGTTGATGTGGTTGTGGTTGTTGTTGTTGATATCGCTTCAGCCACCCGGGGATCAGGAAAAAAGAAGAAGAGTACCGGTAGAGATCTCTTGGGGAATTCGAGAACTCCACTGTGTGTCATCTCCTTTACCTTCACCGCTCTCCCCTTCTCCTTTGTTTCTCCCGATGACCTCGTCCGTCCTGTGTGTTCTGGAAGCCTTGTGGAGCGCGGCACTGAGTACGGTACGGTAACGGTACGGGAATACGCCCTGTCGGCTCTGGGAAAAATTCGCCCGGATGTTGCTCGAAATCGCCCCCGTGGAAGAAGATATATGAATCAGGTCAAGGGAAACTCAATCGGAGCGAAGGATGCCGTCATACTCGCCATCGTGATATAGCCATCTTCATGCGCCTACTCATGGCTTCGACTTGATATTATAACATCAGTAATATATAGTATGGTAGTAGTATGCTCTGTCGGATCGTAGGATCTCCCCGGGGCAGAATCGACCGGTAATACTGTGCGATATTAAGGTCGGTGCACCGCAAGGGCCGGCCCCCTTGGCTCTTCTCCATGCTGGACAGGGAGGGCATGATTGTCGCCATACGTAGTAGTACGTAGTATTATCCTCCCGCCGCCAGAATATTATTTTGGCTTCCCTAAGTTCCCTAAGTTCCCTTACTTTTCCTAATTTGACTGATGCCCATCATCCATGCCCATGCCCATGCCCATTCCCATGCCCTGTCGGCCCTGTCGGCTCCAGCACTTGGGAGACGAGACGAAGGGGGGTGTATGGCTATCAGCCCGATAGGAAGACGATTGCCGTAGCAGAGGGGGAGGCATATCCGTATCGCACTGCGTCGCTGCGAGCGCCGTGCATCGGTGTCCAGTCGTTGGAGAAATCTGGGGTTGCTTGCCCTGACCGTTGGGCACGAGGGGGGTGTTGGTTTGGGTAGCAGCATCAGGTCAGGTAAGTCAGTCAAAGTCACCTATCACTTGGGGCTGTCGCCGTGGTGTCTGCAACCTTGGGCCACATTGCAGACGGTCCGGTGGGACTGGAGAAGATGCTTGAAGAAGGTTATGCGAATAGGTAGGTAAGTACTAGTAGTAGCTCTCTATCGATTGATCTATAGATTATCTATTGGGAGAGCTGCTTGCCCGGCGCCTGCGTGACGTGCGCTGCTGAAAAGCCTGAAGAATCCTTGATTCACCCCCATTCGTCGTGTCACCCCACGCCGGATCATAAAGCCAGTCAGTAAGTACAGTAGCAGGATGAGTAAGTAAGTACCTAGCAAGATGATGATTCTGTACCCAAGGGCATGGCATGGCATGGGAGAGTAAACCAAAGAATGGACAATAGACAGACAGACTGACAGAAACCAGGCTTCCTCTCCTGCTCGTCTGTTTTGTTTGCTCCTTATCAAATAATCAAATCAAATCTGACTCGACGCGTGACATTTGCCTGGCCTTCACTCCCTCCCTTCCTCCCTCCCTCTCTCTCCCCCTCTATCTCTCGATCTCTCACATCTCGTACTTATGCTTCTCGGAACAATAGGCACAATAAGAAGCTTGGTCTCGCATACTGTCCCAAGGCGAGCAGAGTTCAGAGTCCAGAGTCCAACGATTTTCGCCATTGGCGTTCGTCTATTCCCCAGACCATGCGTAGGGGGCCAGCTGCTGCGTGCAGCCAACCAGCAGCTTCAAGGCTTTCAAACAATGGCCTCTTCTGTGGGCGGGAGTCGGCGGAGCACGAGAGACGTGAGTAACCAGTCGCGACGACTCCAATGAGAGCGCGTGGCCATGGAAAAAGGGTGCGCGCAATACAAACTTGGCCCCGGCCACTTGTCATGCAAGAGGGCAGTGAGAGCCTATCGTTTCAGAGGAGAGCGACCGGCATGAGGAGGGAAGGGAGCGAGGACGCGACTGCGATTGCGACTGAGCGAGGAGAACAATCAAGAGGGATCCATAGCTGCCCAACCTGATGGTATCGGGGGAGTGGTCTGAGAAAAGCGAGAGAAGAAGGAATTGGAAGAGGAGGAGGAGGAGGAGAGGACGCAGTTGCAGCGCCTGGCCAGTCAGTGGTGGATAGATGCGATACCATAGTCGCGATAGGGACTGACTGGTGAGTGGTGAGCAGTTCTCGCCGGGGACGTTGGGTCGATCCCCGACTGGAAGCGAAGTGAGTCTATTCCCAGTTTCGCTTGCTGGGCCTGCTTTGCTTGGTCTGGTTCCTGACAATCTGTCGATGGCCGCAGAGGAGAGTCACAACAAGACTCCGCTTTGGATGAGTCTTCAAGTAGGACTGAGGCGAATCATACTTCTTTTCCAGGGACATGTCATCGTGAGTTGCCTGGAGCGGTTCGGTCTAGTAATCGTTGGGTAGTCAGTACCTTTTGTTTTCTTCACTGACCTCGCTTACTGCGGTAGGTAGGCAGGTACTCTTGCAGTCAGTCCATCACCTATGCAACGGTGGAACTATTTTTATCTTCTTTTCAAAAATCATGCCTTTTCAGGACTGGATAGTTAAGGTAGTAATATCAGACGATGGCGCAGTAATTCTAAAGTGTGTTGTTACGTTAGCCTTTACTTGCATTTATGGGGGAGAGTGGAACTCACAATCCACCTCCTACTCTTGGCCAAACTCTCTGTTTATCGCGGTAGCACAGTAATACGGAGGAATAGGAAGTAGGACGGAGAGTACAGGCAGAGTACCGTACAGTAACATCGTAACACCCGTCTACAGCCACCCCTCCGCCCTTTGGGCAGACCTTCTAAAGCCACCTGCCCTCGGCCTCCCAGCCCAAGCCATTTATCTCAATCACAAGAAACGTAAACACGGCGTCGCTTGCACCCGTACCCGTCGCCTTGCTTTTCTTTTTTTCCTTTCTTTTTTTTTTTTCCCCGTTCATCTCTTCGCTCCCTGATCTGGTTCTGGACGCATGGGAGACCCAGCCCAGCCCAGTTGCCCAGCATGACAGGGGCAGGGGCATGCCATGCTTGCACTTCTCGCACTTGATCCATTCACACTCACTTGACTTGACTTCTCGGGTCGGACGAGAAACTGGATGAGATTGGGATAATAAGAAGGCAGCGGACCCGTTCCCTATCGTAGAACTGCTCCGCACTTTACTTCTTCTTACTGCACAGCACATCACAGCTCGGCTCAGATCAGCTCAAGCTCAAGCTCAATATCAACAACAACATCAACAACACCATCACCAGCAGACTGAAGCATTCCACCCATACCAATACCCCTCATCCATCCATCTTTGCCCTCTAACTACACCACATTACCCCCCCCCGCTGCTTATCATCCATCTCGACAGTGGTGATCGACACATCCATCTATTATCCGCATCGCAATACCCCTCCTCTATCTATTATTTTCCCTCGCTTCACCGCCACAACACAACACAATTTCTCGCTTCCCTCCCCCCCCAACACCATCAGCATCACGATAATATCCCAACGATGGCAGCGTATCCGATGCACAACTATTTCAGACCGTCGACGCTGACCATCGATACCCATACGCAGAATTACTTTGAGGAGGACGAAGGAAGCATCTTGGACGAGAACATCCTGGACCAGAACGCCTTGGACTCCGGGCTGGAGATGTCTCCACCCATGGACGGCAGCCGGCGGCAATCCTTTGCAGTCTCCTCATCATTATTCTCACCGAAGACTGATGAATGGCAGCATGTCGACATGCAGCAGCAACAGAATCAACATCCTCAACAGCCTATGGGCTCCAACAATCCCTTTGTGGAGCAGAACAACAACAATAACAACAACAACAACAACCCTTTCATGCAGCGTGTGGAGTCGCAACAATCGTACGGGCACACAACTCACGCATGGTCGATGGGTAACGCATCTGCTATGAGCACTCCGATGCAAGGGCACGATGGACTTCCCCACGAATTCGATATCCCCGTCTTCCAAAGACCGATGCAAACGCCCTTCACCAACACCGGAAACCAGCAATTACCCATCTTCTCGTCTGGAAGCACGAGCAACAGCTCCATCCCAACCTCACCGCAAAAGGACTGGGCTGTCTCAGATGCTTTGGAACACCGGTCGATGCCAAAGAGAATGCGTCCCCACAGCCCAACTCTCCGATCGCATCCTGATATGTCGAGAAGGGGTGACGGGATCCGCAAGAAGAACGCCCGGTTTGACATTCCCGCGGAGCGCAACCTCAACAACATCGACCAGCTTATTGCGCAATCCAACGACGAGCAAGAGATCAAGGAGCTGAAGCAACAGAAACGACTGTTGAGAAATCGTCAAGCAGCGTATGTCAGGATCCCCCCTCCATCATATCTCTCTTCTTCCCGCTCGCACCGACCTCACCCGCTAACCAACTCATCTTAGTCTGGATTCTCGACAACGGAAAAAGCAACATACTGAGCGCCTTGAGGATGAGAAGAAGTTCTTCACGAATCAGATCGCTGATCTCGAGGAAGACCTGTCCCAAGCGAACGTTGCTCTGGACGAGTACATCCGCAAGGAACAACAGTACGAGCAGTACATCCAGGCCATGCAGCAGGAGAAGGAAGAGATCGTACGCAACTACACCATCGAGACTGGAGACCTTCGGAAAAAGGTCAGTGTTCTTACCGAACATATCCAACGGTTAGAGAGTGCCCCGATAGCTCCTCTGCCCGCTCCCACTGCCTTCTCCTCCGACTTTGCCGACATCGACAGCCTCACGATGGACGGCGCGTGGGACAACATCTCCTTCCTCAACGACTTCGCTCCCGAGCCGGAGGTCAAGGTCGAAACCTCCATCGTCCCCGTCAAGAAGGCCGAGAACTCTCTCCTGAGCGAGCCCGAGAAGCCCGCGGCTCAAGGCCTGCTGCTGATGCTCCTCCTCGTCGGTGCTTTCGTGGCTTCGAAAGGCTCCTCCCCGGCCATCCCCAAGATGTCAGACGATGTCCAAGCTGCTTCATCTGCTCTCCTCGAGGACATCTTCAAGGATGCTGGGGTGAACTCTGCATCGTCCATCTCCGACGCGATCGCCCCTCTCCCATCCGGATCCTCCTGGTCCCCGACTCCCATGCCCTCGATGGGCGGCAGCGACATGAACGGCGTCGCGCACTCCACCCTCGGCGATCTCGCCAACAGCCTCTCTCAACCGACCGAAGACCAGAACAACGAGCAACTGTTCTCCCTCTCGGCAGCCCAGTACAACGGCCTCACCAACCAAGACTTCCTCAACTCCGCCCCTCAACCATCCACGTCGCAGGGCCGGCGCAATCTGGGCGAGACCCTCGCGGCGATGCGTCTCAACAGCAAGAAATCCGCCGCCGAGGTCTACACCCGGTCGCTCCTCTGGGATCAGGTGCCCAGCGAAGTCGTCCGCAACTTTGCCAAGATGGTCTCGGATTGCAATTCGCCTAGTCGGAATCCCGAGGAATGCGCTATAGCAGGCTGAACGACTTGATGATGATGATGTCTTGACGACGCACACGCACACGCACACACACACACACATTCTCGTCACGTTTACGTGTCTTTTTTTTTTTTTTTTTTTCTTCTTCCTTCAGGAAATATACTATGATCAACGGTAACGAATATAACGGCATATCACACACAGCGGCAGCAGGCAGCAGGCAGCAGCAGCAGGAGCAAAGACTCTGCTGCTCACGCAGAATCACCTTATCGGATTTTCTTTCCCCTCTCATATGTTCAGCGAGCGAAGCGTCAGCGTCTTGATATTTTTGCATGCTATCCAATTTTCACGACTTGGTTTTTGGGTTTTTTGGGGGGGGGCCCAACCTCTCCCTTCTGCATCATCATCATCACGGCTCGGCAACGGACGGTGGGACGGAAGTTTACTCATCGGCTTTCTTATCATATTGGCTATTTCCTGGATTCGGGGATATTGGATAACTGGCTGGACGGCACAGCGAATGGGGGGGGGGGGGGAGCGAGGTGGGGATGGGGGATATTGGCATAATCCCCAACAAAAAAAACCCAATTTGTTCCGTTGCATGATTCGCTGCTCCCGGCACTCATCGCAAACTTCCCTCCTTGGGTTGGAATTGGATCGAGCCCACGGCCATCTGGAAATACATCGCGGCTCGCAGTCGCACCCAAGCCCCGGGGGACGGACAAAGTTGGACATGTGTAAATTGGACTTTTATCTCCTTACCTACTTCACTGTCGATTATGAATGGGATTTGTATGCAGAGGATGAGGACTGACGACGACGAGGAGGAAGATGTCACTCCGCACATTAGTTTTTAGGATTTAGTTTCTATTCTCCCCTTATTCTTTGTTCCTCCTTGTTTATCTTTCTGTTTACGGGAGGCGGTTTAGAGCTGGTGGGGGGACAGAGAGAGAGGAGGGGGGACGGGGGGAAGAGGGAGAGAAAGATGTAGAGAGAATGGCATCAATAAATAGTATTACATTCGAAGCAATCCCGGATGTTCCTTTTTTTTTTTTTTTTTAATTGATTGTGTTTCTGGACTCCCCATTCATCATCATCATTATCACGGACGATCTTCGACCGGAGGAGGAGGCTGACCTAGGTAACCGGTACTTATTCACCTACTTCCTACCCGCCCTATACATACATAGGTACATAGGTACATACACAAAGACACAGTATCAAGCCAGCCTGACCTACCTATACCTACCTATACACATGTATGTACCTTATACCATATCACACAAGCACGACCTTCACGACCTGCACGACCTGCACGACCTGCACGACCTGCGCGACCCTCGGGACACACTCACTCCCAACCCCCAATCATCCAAACCCCAAGAGAAAAAGACCAGAGACATCCATCCAACCATCCATCCATCTATCCCATCCATCCATCTATCCACCACCCAGAAATCCCCACGCCCATCTCCCCTCCCCTCCCTCCCTCACGAGAAACCCTAGAGTAGAATAGAATAGAATAGAATAGAATAGAACGAATAAGAAAATGGGAGTGAATAAGAAAGAGAAAGAGAAATGTAGCTAATATTATTATTATTACTATTATTATTGTTATCATCGTCCTTAATAACCCTTTTATTCTCACTCTTACTCCCATTCCTCCTCCTCATACCGGTACTCATGCCCATGCCCATGCCCATGCCCATCACAAAACACAAAACACAAACCACAAATACCACTCACTCACTAAACTTAATGTCCGCACTCATACATACAGAGAGAGAGAGAGAGAGAGAGAGAGAGTAAGTTTCCTACCAGATACCAAGTGTCCTCATCGCCAGCGCCATCGCCATCGCCATAAAC